AAAAGCAGCCGCGAGCGTACGGCAATCGGGATAACAACACACACAACAGTTTTAGGTGAGGGTACTAGCGAGTGGAGGAATTTTAGCTTAGGAGAGTAGTATATTTTTAAAGTTGGTAAAATGAAGTAGCTGCTGGGCNCCAGACAGGAAGGCCCCTTGGGGGAGCTGGAAGTGTGCTTGCATGCATAAGCCGTACTGTACGACAGCTAAAGCATCTGATTCGGCAAATGAAAATTTAATACAGACAGTACGGGAAAGGCGCCTTTATAAGAAGTACTTAACTAACTAACAAAAGTAACATGCATGGGTGTCCTGGCCGCCCTGATCGTCTCCGTGCAGTGCAGTGCAGCGCAGTAATGCACGGCCCGCTGGCCCGCTGGCTCTACCCTTTGTTGCGAGTCTTCTGGGGCCCACTGTAACAACCCCTAATAGGAATAACGCAGTGTATTACAAAACGCATTATACGCGGCAACATTATGATGAACATGTACAGGGGGACAGAGGTACTCACTGCGCGTCGGTGTTCCCCGACCGCCCGACCACCAGCGCATCCGCCAGGTGCGCCAGTCCGAATACGTTGGCCCCCCGCACGCAGTCCGCCGCCCCCCAGCCCCTCACCACCACCCGCGCGCCCCAGTGGCTGATGCCCCACTGGGCCAGCCACACGCGGTTGGCGGTGAAGGTGTGGAAGGAGAGGGACGTGCCCGTGTCGTCACTGGGGTGGGGGAGGGAGAGGGGTGTGTGTGGAAGGGTGACTCGAGTCCGGGGAGAACGAGGGCTGGGGCGGGAGGGGATTTATATGCAAGAGAGCAAAGGAAGGGGGGAGGGGGGGAGGGGAGGGGTGGTCGACCCCGGGTGTTCAAGTACGGCGGTTCCACACACCCGGGGGCCCTTGTGTCACCTGCCGCCCTACGTCGAGCCCCCGGCGCCAACAGCTTCTCTCCTCATCCAGGCCCCATCATTGTAGGGCTGCAAAGTAGGGTTGTAAGGGCTCCACCCTTCCACAGCCGAACAGCCACCCCGCTACCTGCAAGACCTCCGCGCACGTCAATACACCCCAATCCCCCTCCCTGGACTGCCTCACCGTGTGTCCATTTCGTAACGCCCACTGCTGTAGTACAACTTGCCACCATCAGCATCATTAACCCACAGCTTACCCCCCACGTAGATAGCCCCCGCCATAATCCTGTAAAGGGGGAAAGGGGGA